ATGATGGTTATTTGACAAGTTTTACGTTAGCTGTCGATTATCCATTCCAACACTTCTCTTTTCTCATCCAGGGCTTGAGACCTGACAACAACAGTTTTAGGAGCAACCCATGACTATAGATAAAAATATCCTTTAGTTGGGTCAATTACTTTCTCTACTAAGAATACTAGGGATCCTGATAACATAAGACTATATAATCATGATATCTTGATCGAGTTCATCATCATTTTCCTACCATCTTTTTTATGCCAATAGTGATAAAATTTTCAACCTTATACCAACTGCTGCCGCTATACACTAAGCATTTATGTTCTAGTGACCAGCCTTAATCGAAAGGTTACTCTCTTTAGTGGGATGAGTAATTAACCTTATAGGGTTACTCCTATGGGAAATTTGAAACAAGATCATAAATATCTTACAAAATGAGGGTGGAATCTTTGGGTAGTGACTTATCTTCAACCTAATTTGCCTTCTGAATATTTGACCCCGAACACGTAAACTCTTGCACAAATCTTGGGCATGATTTTTGAAGCCCACGCCTCGGGATAAAGATCTTTTACAATATTGAACCCCTTGACTTTGGAGTGAAGGTTACTTAGAAGAGGCTTTCATGGAACTAATATAAAATGAATAATGGTCTCATTATTTTAAAGCATGAATGATTGCATAGAATTATGCATCATAAGTAGAGTATTTGTGATATGCCTCATTCAATCTTCAGTAAAATTGGCAATTGGATGCCTATTATAACTTAACATGGCACAAATTTTGATATTGATGCATCATAGTTAACTTCAAATACCTAATTGAAATTAGGAGGGCAAGGATCAGAGTGTGGGTTATAGTTCGTTTAGGTTTTTTGAAATTATATAGGGTTGTGGTTGTACAAATGAATTTCTCTCCCTTAAGAACTTTAGTTAAAGGAGTAACTTGATAGAAAGTGGATACAATCTCCTCAAAATCAGTGAATGACAATAAGAAATTAGGAAGAAGAACACACAAAAACTATTTTTTGCAAGATATATGAAAGAAAATAACAAGATACAGTTGGATCTTCAATTGGAGTGGAAGATCCGACTCTCCTAAATCCCTAGCCGGCGGCTAGAGCCCTCACAACCTAAGAAAATTCTAAGTTCAACAAACTCAAAACATGAAAAACAAACCTTGGGTAAAACCTACTTAAATCATACAATCCTATAGCCAAATCCCTAAACAGCCCCTTTCAAATCCTTCTTCCCTCCCAGTTGCCCCCTCTTGTATTATTTTTTCCTTGGGCCCCACTGCAAGGGGGGCAGGATTTGCCCCCCTGTTCCACCTGTTGTAGACAAGTTCTGTGCGGAACTTCTTCCATCGCTGTTGACAAGAGCTGGTCTCCCAGGAGGGACCGGTCTAATACACACCTCCTAAAAACTACCTTGTCCGCAAGATAGAAAGACGACTCCCCCTGGGTCCCAATCATCTCTTCTACACCCATATCTAAACCTTTCGTCAATATCCCACATTCTCCTTTCGAATTCAGCACCCCTTGGATCATAATCAATCATTCTCCTTTCAAATTCAACCCCTCTCCTTTCAAATTCAGCTCCTATCCTATTAAATTCAGTACCCTTTCATGCCTGACCCGCTCACACCTCTCCCCATACCCTCTACCCAACTCCTCTCTAGGAATATGCTCTAGGGGAGACATTCTGTCTTTTTCCTCCAGAATCTCCACCTTTTGATCCTCCATACGCCTTATCGGATTAGGGTTTTTCCCACTTCCTTGGTTGTCGGGGGTTTCCCTCGCCTCCAATGATTCCGTTTTGCGTTGACCCTCGAGCAACATCTTCAATATCTCTTTCAGGATGGAAAATTTCTCATCAATCTCTCTCATCAATCTCTCATAGCCGGTTGAAATTTGACTTTTGAAATCTGAAAATTGAGTTTGGAGATCCAAAACTTCATATTTCAATTGTCAAGTCTCCCATTTCAATGCTTCTACCTTTCTTCCTGTCATAGTACTCGGATCAAGGCTCTAAACTACGAAAATGGCCAAAATACAGCGAATCGGGTCTTCTACAGCAAAATTTAGCAAGAATGGAGAGAAAACACAGCAGAAATCAGTGAGGAAAACTTATATTTAGCCCAGGACACCGCTATAATACCAATTTGATAGGAAATACTTGTAGAAATAGAAAAAAACCCTAAACAATAATGGAGAAGTACGATGTGAGAAACTAGGAGAAAACCTTTTTAATTGATGATATGTGGAAGAAAATTAACAAGATATAATGGATCTTCAATTGGAGAGAAAGATCTGTCTCTCCCAAATCTCTAGCTCCCGACTTGAGCCTAAACCTCCTAGAAAATTCTAATTTGAGCAAACACATACATAATCCTAACACTAGGAAAATAACCTACTTAAAGCATACAAAAATAATGCAAATCCCAAAACAGTCCCTCTTTTGAATTTTCCCTCCTAATCTCCCTTAATTTCCTCTCTAATTGTTGTTGGACTCCACCCCAAAAGGGGGTGGAAGTTTGAAGCAGAACCTATCCGCCTCTTGTAATAGGATCGATCTAACACAACCACTACTAAGTAAAAATTCTTAATTAATCATCAATAATAGGACATCAATACATTGAAAATTTGTAAATCGGTGAATAATTATGGTAAAGGCCAATCTAAAATGGCTTGGACCTTGGTCTATTTTTATCCCAGCCTCATATAGATAACATGACCTAGAAAATTAGTCGTTTGTTAGAAATTTGTCTTTACTAGGATTTACATACAACTTTTTTAGTCGTTAAACTTCAAAAAGTTTACATAAATGATGTAAATGATCATCTTGAGTACTAGGATATCATCGAAGTGTACTACTGCAAATTTTTCCATAAATGGTCTACACACTCGTGTCACCAAATGCATGAAAGTGCTTGGAGCATTGGAGAGACAAAAATGCATCACTACCCACTCATATAAGCCATTTCATCTTTTGAAAGCTATTTTCCATTCATCACCCGTCTTCATTTACATTTGATCATACCCACACCCAGGTCCAATTTTTTATAAA